TTGTCTTTCCCTCTCCAGAAAGCCCCCCCTCCACCATGCCTTCATTCTTTCTGTCCCCATGCAGGATATAACCAAAGGGTTCACATGACCCATTTTAACACCATGACAAATACAAACATTTAGAACCCAACAGGACCACAAATCTTGTATGTGAGGCAGCCCCGAGGTTACATTGAATTGTCTGAACAGCCAAAGAGTTCCATGACTCCTTCTAGTGACTCCTTTAACTTTGCAGTGAGACAGTGACATAAATGAGAAGCCAACAGGGAAATGCTCCTGCCTCAGAGTATTAGACTTTGGTGGTTTTAGGAGTAAAAAAACCAAACAAACAAAATGGAGAAACAACTCCGGTTTCTTATATCTAATTAGTGAGTCTTCTTCACTGGCAAGGAAAGACTTCTCCAAGGCTTCTAGTCTCTGGGAAAGAAAGCTAAGAGTCATAAACAAGGGGCATCATATTTAGGTAGCCCTGAGTACATTCCCTAGCATACTGGCCACATAGCCTTGAGCAAGGCGATTCTTTTAGAAGACTTCTAAGCTAAGACCTTATGACTAAAAGACCTCTAAATCCTCTCTAACCCCAAATTGGGATACAATAGAGAGAGCACCAAATTTGGAATCAGAGGGCCTATGTTCAAATCCTGCCTTGGTCATTGAGTTCTCATGTTATGTTAGGCAAATCTATGGACCTCAGAGCCTGTAACTTGTCATCAGTGCCCATTCAACAGACTTCTTCCCATCAAGAAAGGTGGGGTGCCTTGTCCAGAATGTTGAAAGAGGTGACTCCAGAAGTCCCTTCCAACTCAGAGAATCTGTGGTCCCCTTGCTTATTCAGCAACCAGAAGGTGACAAGGAACAGGGCTGTGAGTCCTCTGAGCTTCCTTGCCTCCCTCACATCATTATGATTGTGATCCTAGGAGCAGCCAGCTGCCTCCACTGTCCTCCTGAGTGGTGCCGAAATGTTCCCTGACCCTTGAACCTTCATTGTGGATCCATTGTGGTGTCTGACATCCCTGCCCTGATGTGAAGGCACGGATGGCTCCTTAACTTTTTTTGGAGGGGGGGACAGCACCAGAAAACAGTTCGCAGTCAATGCCCAGTTTAGCTAGTGGCTGCCCCCGAAGGGCATTAAGGGCAGACTATTATTTTATAGATGTGGAAAGAAGTAGTTAAATGTTTTGTCCAGTTAAAAATAACCTGGGGCAGGATTTGAATCCAGTTCACCTTAACTCCAAGTCTAGTGCTCCATCCATCTTACCACATTGTCTTTGTTTTTCCTCATTTCATTGAGAAAATGGAAATTTGGAGAAATTAGAAATAAGCATTTGTTAGAGCAGGCTTCTGGTTCAATGAATGATAAAGAGTTTGGTTTGCTCATTCAGTTAAAGACAATAAGCATTTATTGTGGCCTCTCTACCTCAAGTATGGGTATGGCCCCATGCTAGGAGGTGGGGTTTCAAAGACATAGACAAAACTGTCCCTGCTAGAACTGTGGGGGAATGGATGTGTAGAAAACTAAGGACACAGAAAGCACACACAAAACTAATCCAAAGTGATTTTGTTGGAGGGTAGGGAGAACACTAAGACCCAGGGATCAGGAAACATCTGCTCTGGTATGGCGAGGTCTCTTTTCTAAAATCATCAGATCAAGTGACCCCTCCCTCAACAACTGTCAACGACTCCCCTTTAACTAATCCTCAGGGCTAGCACTTTTATAGTTCTCTAAAGTTTGCAAGATGCCAGCAAGTTTGGAAAACTCACCAGTGGCCACTGGATTGGAAAAGATCCATTTATGTCCCCAATCCCAAAAAAGGGTAATTCCAAAGAATATTCAAATTACTAAACAATCCCACTCATCTCACACACCAGCAAGGTTATGCTTATTATTCTTCAAGCTAGGCTTCAGGGATATGTGAACCAAGAATTACCAGAAGAGCAGGCTGCTTCTCAAAGAGGCAGAGCAACTAAAGACCAAATGCCAACATTTGCTCTATTATGGAGAAAGCAAGAGAGTAAGAAAACCATCTACTTCTGCTTCATCAAGTACACTAAAGCCTGTGACTGTGTGGATCACAATGAAACATGGCAAGTCCTCCAAGAGATGGGAGTATAAGATCATCTTCCTTGTCTCCTGAGGAGCCTGGATATGGGTCAAGAAGCTACTGTTAGAACCAAACATGGAACGACTGATTGGTTTAAGTTTAGAAAAAGAGTGCAACCAAAGGCTGGATATTGACACCTTATTTATTTAGCTTACATGCAGAATAAATTATGCAAAATGCCAGGCTAGATGGATCAAAAGCCGAAGTTAAGGCTGCTAAGAGAAATATCAACAATCTCAGATATGCAGATGATACCACTCTGATGGCAGAAAGTGAAGAAAAATTAAGAAGCCACTTCTTGGTAAATAGAAGGAGAGGAAATGGAGCAGTGTCAGATTTTATACTCGGGTTCAAAAATCACTGCAGACAGTAATTGTAGCCATGAAATTAAAAGATGCTTGGTCCTTGGAGGGAAAGTTATGGCAAATCTGGACAGCAGACTAAAGAGCAGAGACATCACCTTGCCAACAAAGGTCCATGTAGTCAAAACTATGGTTTTTCCAGTAGTAATGTATGGTTGTGAGAGTTGGACTATAAGGAAAGCTGAGTGCCACAGAATCGATGCTTTGGAATTGTGGGGCTGGAGAAGACTTTGGAGAGTCCCTTGGACATCAAGGAGGTCAGATCAGTCAGTACTTAAAGACATTCATTTAAACTGTTCATTGGAAGGACAAATGCTGATGCTAAAGCTTAAATGCTTTGGTCACATAGTGAGAAGACAGGACTCATTAGAGAAGACCCTGATGTTGGGAAAGATTGAAGGCAAAAGGAGAAGATGACATGGGCACAGTGTCATGGAAACAAATGAACAGAAACTTGGATAGGCTTTGGGCAAAGTGCAAGACAGAAGAGCCTGGTGTGCTGTGGTCCACAGGGTCCTGAAGAGTCAGACACAGCTGAACAACACAAAAGTTTGCAAATCACTTTATAAATATGATCTCATTTGGTCTTCACAACAACCCTATAAGGATGCTAGGCGCAATTATTATCTCCGTCTTACAGATGAGGAAACTGAGGTAAACAGAGGTTAATTGGTTTACCCAGGGTCACTCAGCTAGGAAGTGTCTGAGGTCTTCCTGACTTTAAGCACTGTGCCAACGACTAACATACCAACTCCTTAGCTTACCCTCGCAGGCCCCCATTTTCAGTCTCATTTCACTTGCTTCCCTTCATGCATTCTGTTGATCTGCTCTCTTCCAGTTTCTTCCCACCTTCCCTTATTTCCATGCATGTATTAAGTCTGTCCCTCCAGATTTCTACTGACTAAGATTTTCCTTCTCCATCCAGGCTCTGTTCAGAGCACCTTCCTGCGATGCTCCTGCTGATTCTCCAGATTGGAGAGGGCCTCTCCTTCCTCCAAGTTCTTTGCCCAGACAATTCTTCTGCTTGAATCTCACTCTCCATTCTATTAAATGTACCACTGAATGCCTGCCCCTCCCCCCATTAGATTGGATGCCTCTTAAAGTCAGAGGCTGTGTTTGGTTTCACTTTGGTCTCTCTCAGTGCCTTGCACACAACAGGCACTTAATAAATGCTTGTTGACTCACTGCTTGATTCATTGAACCAAATCTTTGTATCCTCTCTGTTGGTGTTGGTGTTAAAAGATGACTTTGCATATCAGGTCTTAGCATCTCAGGGTGATTAAGAGCTCTGATCAATTTCCCAGGTTCAACCCAATTGTCCTTTTTCCTTAGTTTGATTCTGTTGTCTATATCCAGGGTCTGTCCAAGTTATATGTATTGATAGGCTATCTCTATGGGTTGCCCATTCAGTTGCCTAAGAAATGGGCATGTGTCACCACTTGTGTATAGTTAGGCTAGACTCTATCAAGTGATTACAGATCTTCTTGAGGGAGCCATGCCTTCCTGTGGAGCTGAATGCATCAGCACAATGTCATCTTCAAACAGTAGCATTTGGAGGACTTCTTCATCTGCCACTAAGGTCTCTTGTATTGCAACTCCTTTGGGCAAATGCCATGAAGTGACTCACCTTTGGTGAGCCTCGGTTTCCCTTTTTTATATTTCTCTTCACTTGGATGATTAGAACATTGTTGAACGAAGCTCTCTCTCTCTCTCTGTCTCTGTCTTTAATGGTCTCACCACATGTGTGAGAGACCCCATGTTGGAGGATGCCCTTAAAGTGACATCTGGCTTTACTTTTCTATACTCCACAATTAATGAGCACTAAAGATTTTGTGCTCTTTATATTTTCTAGGTGATGCTCTGTCATTGTGATCACAGGACTCCAAAGAATCAGTTATTGATGGCTCAAAGAGCTATGGAGAGAGATATGGCAATGTGTCACTGACACAGGAAGTGGTGCAGAGTTAACCATCCCGGGACCCCAGGGAAGACAGTGTGCTGGTCCACAAGGGATTGTGAGGGAGGGAGAAGGGACCTAAAAATCATCCGGTCCAACGCCTCATTTTACAGATGAAGAACTGAGGAAGCCCAGGGAGTTAGAGTCACTTGTCCAAGGTGACACAGGGGGGTCATTGGCAAAGCTGAAATCTGAATTTTGTTTGTGTTATATTCTATTGTATTTGTGTTGTATTGTAGTCATCGTTCTAAACAAAAGCCATAATTCACAAGTTGTTGATATTTTGAAAAAGTTACACAAACAGTTCTCAAAGTTTTAAAAGCAAACAAACAGGTGTCACCAGACTGATTTCCCTCCATTCCCCCAGGTCGTTGTTATGGTTGTTGTTGTTTCTCCTTTTTCAGGGCAGGAAGATGATGTCATGACCTGCAAATGAATTGGATTTAAGCAGTAAACAAACAGGGCAGGGTTAGTGCACGACCCTAGGACTGGGAGGGGGAGGGATGAGGTACTAGAGACCACGTGGTGCAGGAATGAGGAAAACCAACTGGAATCTTCCTACCCTGCCCTGCTCTGGGCCCTGAAGGATGCCTTAAGGGCACCGCATTATTCTCATCTTGGACCCCCACATATCCCTGCTGCAGAGGCCTGACAGGAAGCGTCATCTCAGTGGGAGGCTTGGGCACCTCATGAAGAACCAGAGACTGGAGAATGCCTGAGCCCCTGCAGGCCCCAGTGCCTGCCGGCTTGCCTTCCCACTGGGCAGAGCTCCTCAGGGATTTGGCTGAAAAATCTGCAAGACGTAAGCATCCACATTGTCTCCCCCCTTCTGGTTGTTATCCTGCTGGATACAAATGCAACTTGACATATCTGCACTGGCCTAATTAAATATTTATCCTTCCTGAGCTTAGCTGGGATCAGAGGAGCTGGCTGCAAGAAAATGCTGTTTGGCTTTCAAATCACAAAAGTGGTACTTAGAACCTAGGAGAGACAGCCAGTGAAGGGACAGTGGTAGTCTGGGTGGCATTTCTCTGCTCCTGCAGCCATGGGCTATTTCCTCTTCTGCTTCTCTAATCAGAATGACATTCACAGCTCCAGATTTGGGTATGTTAAAGCTAGGTTCTTGAGCCAGAGCTCTCTAAATTGGACTCAAATCCCTCAGGGAGCTTGGGAAGGTGGACTGGAAAGGCTCACTCAGAGACAGCTGATGCAGGGAGCCAGACAGTGGGTGGGTTCACTTGTTTTCTTCTTTGGAAAGGAAGGAAGGAAAGAAGGAGGAAAGAAAGGAAGAAAGAAAGGAAAGGAAGGAAGAAAGGAAGGAAGGGAGAAAGGAAAAAAAGAAAGAAAAAGATTAGAGAAAAAGGAGAGAAAAGAAGGAAAGAAAAAAAGACAGAAATAAAGAAAAAAAAAGAGATAAGAAAAGAAAGAAAGCAAAGATTAAGAAAGGAAGAACAAAAGAGAGAAAAAAGAAAAAGGATGAGAGAAAGAAAAAGAGTAAAGAAGAGACAGAGAGAAAGCAAAAAGAAAAAGAGAGAAAGAAAAAAGAGAAAGAATGAAGAAAGGAAAGAAGAAAGAAAGAATGAAAAAATGCCTGGTTGCTTGCTTAGACCCTTTACTCCTAGGCACCTTCTCAGCCCAGCCTGATGTATCTGAGGCACTACCAGGGAAGAACCTTCAGAATTTGGGGTAGTGTGGGGTGAGGCTGTTGGGGCCAGATCAGACTCAGCTCAGAAATAATAAGGCTTCCACTATAAGAGCTCCTTTCTCCCTCCCTCCCTTCATAAAACACAACTATTTTCATGAGCTACTTCTTATGTGTAAAAGCATGCCTTCATTTTTTTTTTCATTTTTATTAATTTATTTTGATTTATCAGCAATCACTTCCATAAGCTTTTGAGTTTTAAATTTTTCTCCCTCTCCCTCCCCAATTCCTTCCCAAGACAGTGCACAATCTGATATAGGCTACACATACACATTCCTATTAAACATATTTTCACATTAGTGATGTTGTAAGTATGAATTAGAACCAATAGGAGGAACTGCCAGAAAGAGGAAACAAAACACAACAGAAGAAAAAAAAATAGCAAATAGTCTGCTTTGATCTGCATTCAAACTCCATAGTTCTTTCTTCTTTGTAGATAGCATTTTCCATCATGAAGCTTTTGGAGATGTCTTAGGTCCTTGTATTGCTGAGAAGGGTTAAGTCTATCAATATTAGTTATTGCATAACATGGCTTTTACTGTGTACAATGTTCTCCTGGTTCTGCTCACTTCACTCAGCAACAGTCCATACATGTCTTTCCAGGTTTTTCTGAAGTCTGCCTGCTCATCATTTCTTGTAGCACAATACTATTCCATTACATTCATATATCACAACTTGTTCAGCCATTCCCCAGTTGATGGGCATCCCCTGAATTTCTAATTCTTTGCCACCACAAAAAGAGCTGCTATAAATATTTTTGTACATGTGGGTCCTTTTCCCATTTGTATGATCTCTTTGGGATATAGCCCTAGAAGTGCTATTGCTGGGTCAAAGGGTATGCACATTTTTATAGCCCTTTGGGCTTAGTTACAAATTGCTTTCCAAAGTGGTTAGATCATTTCACAACTCCACCAGCAATGCATTAGTGTTCCAATTTTCCCACATCTTCTCCATTATTTATCATTTTCCTGTTTCGTCATGTTGGCCAGTCTGATAGGTGTGATGTGGTACCTCATAGCTGTTTTAATTTGCATTTCTCTAATCAATAGTGATTTAGAGCATTTTTTCGTATGACTACAGATGGCTCTAATTTCTTCCTCTGAGAACTGCCTGTTCATATCCTTTGACCATTTATCAACTGGGGAATGACTTGTATTCTTATAAATTTGACTTAATTCTCTCTGTATTTTGGAAATGAGGCCCTTATCAGAGAGACCGGTTGTAAAAATGCTTTCCCAATTTTCTACTTTCCTTCTAATCTTGGTTGCATTGGCTTTGTTTGTGCAAAAACTTTTCAATTTAATGTAATCAAAGTTATCCATTTTGCATTTCATAATGTTCTCTATCTCCTGCTTGGTCATGAATTCTTCTGTTCCCCATAAATCTGATAGGTAAATTATTCCTTGCTCTCCCAGCTTACTTACAGTAGCCTTCATTCTTTAGCAGCCAAGATTTAAACATGTAAACTCCTCCTTCTCCTTTTCCCCTCCTTCTCCTTTTCCCCTCCTCTCCTCTCCTCTCCTCTCCTCTCCTCTCCTCTCCTCTCCTCTCCTCTCCTCTCCTCTCCTCTCCTCTCCTCTCCTCTCCTCTCCTCTCCTCTCCTCTCCTCTCCTCTCCTCTTCTCTCTGTCTGTCTCTGTCTGTCTGTCTCTCTCTCTCTCTTTCCCTCTTTCTCTCTCTCACACACACACACACACATCTTTCTTAAGTTGTATTTTTTCTTTTGGAGACACTGAGGGATGGAAAGCCATCTCATCTCCCTTCTAGACATCAAGTCAGACCTGGTCCCAAACAACTCCAATACCTTCTACATTATCCCTAGCCTGCAACCTCTGTGTGAGGAGCTCATTACCTCCCCCAGCCACCCGTTCCATTTAGGGACCATACTCATGGTTAGAACTCTTTGCTGCCAGTCTAAATCAGCCCAGGCCACCTCCCATTCATGGTTCTCCTGTCCTCTGCAGCAAAGCACATGTGTGGGTCATCTTTCATGAGACAATCCCTCCAAAAAGCAGACAGTGCATGTGTTCCCTTAAGTCTTCTCTCCAAGCTAAACATTGCCCAGTTCTCAAACTGATCCTTCCATGGAACAACAGCAACAATGACAAAGACGATGGCAGCTAGCAGCAGCATAGCCCTTTAAGGGGAGTTGCAAAACACTCTTCTCCCAGAAGCCAAGATGGTGGAGTAAGAAGTAAGTCATCCTCATACTCCCTTATTGACCTCTGAAAGCCCAGAAAATATTGCCCCAGGAAAAACCCTGGGATAGCTGAACCAGCAGAAAGATGGGGTGCAGCAGTTTTGTAGCCCAGGAAGGTTGGGGCATTAATAGGAAAGACCTCTCTTGCTCTGGAGGAGGGGGAGCAGTATGGGACAGGAGGCTTCCCAGCAAGCCAGCAGCAAGCCCCACCTCAACATACTAGGAAGAGATCCTGAGCCCCAGGGTGGTAGAGCAGCAAGCCCCAACACTAGGACCCCTGAATGCCTCAGTACAGGCAGGGGAACCTGTAGACAACAGCTCAGAAAACCACCACATGTGATGGCTTTCTCCAGCAGCCAAATCACCTGGTGCCTCAGCACAACTCTGGGAAGCATGACTCTAAGAGGAAAAGCTCCAGGCTGATAGACATTCTCCAGCAATTAAACATCCCTGTGCAAGGCCTGGGAGACTAGGAGCCAAACATATGAGTGCAAGGCCCAGGTAAGCAGGCGTCCCCCATTCCCACCCTGAGAGCTCCAGTGTTGCTGACCCCAGCCCAGCACTAGGTAAGCTGCCAGAACCCTACAGCCTCCAACTGCCAGCACCTGAGGCCCCAGCACACAAAGCCAGTGATGAGGTCCAGCGCTCCCAGCACAAGAAGCTTGGGTCAGTGCTCCCTGCTCTCCAGGAGGAGAGCTCAACCTTTTTTTTTTTTTTGAAGTCAGGAAATAAGCAAACACCATGAGCAAAAAGAATTGTACAATGACCATTGATTCTTATTTTAGGGACAGGGAAGATCAAGGCACAAATTCAGAAGAAGACAACATTTTCAACATATCCACACCTGAAACTTCAAAGGGGAATATGAACTTTGCTCCAGCCCAAAAAGCCTTCTTGGAAGAGCTCAAGAAGAATTTTAAAAGTCAAATAAGAGAGGTAGAAGAAAAATTGGGAAAAGAGTTTCAAAACACTTTACAAATATGATCTCACTTGAGATTCATGATTTTGGGAGGTAGGTGCAATTATTAACCTCATTTACAGATTCAGAAACTGATGTCAAGACTGGTGAAGTGGCTTGCCCAGGGGCACACAGCTAGTAGGAATCTGAGGCAGGATTGGACTCCTAAGTCAAGCCCCCTGTGCACTGTGCTACCTAGGTGACTTCAAAGCCCTCTATCATGCTGGTCTCCATCTTCTGGATGATCTCCATCTTTCAAGGTCATTCCTAAAGTTCAGTGCCCAGAACTGAACCCGGATGTAGTCTGACCAGGCCAGGCAACTGAAAGGTGATCACCTTCCTATTCCCAGGATGCCTTGTGTTTCACCATGTAGCCCAGGAGGTCATCCCCTTTCTTTGACTTCCATATCACACTGTTGAAATCTATGGGGCTTGTAGTCTGCTAGGACTCTGAGAATTTCCATCCTTGTCCCTCCCTCCCAAACTCAAGCTATCTAGCCATGCTCCTGGGATCATATGATTATGGATGGAAGAGAGGAGGAAGGGAAAGGAGGCAGAGAGGAAGAGGGGGCGGAGAGTTCTGAAGTCGGTCCTTAGGAGTAGAACATAATGCATTTGTTTGTGCCTGCTAAATCCTACGATAGAGAACCCAATGCCTGTGGTAGGAGAGGCAGTGTGGGGTAGTGGGTAGAGGCACCTTGGGGTCAGGAAGGCCTCCTAGCTTCAAATGTCACCTCTGACTTGGCCTGGCTGGGGGACTCTGGGCCAGACACTTCTTGCCCTGTTTAGTCTGGCCACCCCTGGGTGGCCATCTGGGCAGTTTGTTCACTCCAATTTTTCACTGCTTCATTTTCCCCTTTCCCTCCATAGCATTGATCAAGGCCCATGTAAAAGTCACATACTAAGGCAATACAGCCTGGCAGCATTCCCTTAGAGACCCGCCAGGAAGGCTGGAATTTCATGGTCTGATCTGACTAGATCTAGTCTCATAGCTTTATTCCAGTCCCAAATGCAGAGAAGTTGGTTCTCCATCCAGCCAACTGGAGAAACAAAGGCACACTCAAAAGACTAGATGGAGCGAGGAAGGATGGCCTCCATTTTCTCTCTGCTTAAACTGAATGAGACCCCAACCTAGGACAGGGAGATTTAGCAGTTTTACTGACTAGAGTCTTTGGTCTGAAATGACTGGGCCTGAGAAAGGGACCATGCATGTACATCTCTGGCAATAAAAATAGCTAGGATTTTTCTAGCACCTTCCAGATGTGTATCACTGAATCCTCACAATCACCATGGGAGGTAAGTGCTATTACGATCCCTATTTTATAGACATGGAAACTGAGGCAAGGAGCAGTAGGAGGAAAGATAGCGGTTTTTGGAGAACATTTCATATGACTTTCTCCTATGTTTTTATTGCATAATTTACAGTATTACATTTAAGAGGGAATATGATGGATGCCCAGTAAACTGCAAGCTCCTTGAGGGCAGGGACTGTTGTTTTTCATCTTAGTAAATGCAAGACTTCATACTTAATAAAAGTTTATATAATTAAGATGTAATTGTCTAACCATCCACAATAGAAAACCAAAGTAGAAGAAAAAGCCCATTCCCCAGGTTCGGACCCATAGTGGGACACAGCCTCCTGATGTCATGGAAAACACCATGGACAGATAAAGGGTTGACCCTGGAATCAAGTGAGAGGGAGAGACTAGGTTAGAGAACTGGTGTGAGGAGCTGTAGAGCACTCTCAATGATCTGGAACAAGAAAAGCCAAGCTCCTTAACCGCAATCTGCAATAAAGCCAATTCAGTTCAACAAGGATTAATTAGTCACCTGCCACATGCAAGACTCTGCACTAGGGACTGGGCCTAGAAAGGCAAAGCAGAATGTTGTCTTTGCCCTCAAGGAGCTTACATTCCACCAGCAGGATTGGATGTATACACATATAAATAAGTGGGTGTGAGATAGGCAGGAGAGGGCATTGACAGCAGGTGATAGGTGGTGGGTGAAATCAGGAGAGGCTTCTTGTAGGAGGTGGCATCTGACCTGAGTCTTGAATGCATCTGGGGGTTCTTAGAGAAAAAGTGTGGCAGATCAGAGAGGCAGCTGGAGCTAACCCTGACCACTCTGCTCAATGTTTCTTGGCTATGACTCTTGGCACACTGATCTCAGGAGAATTCACTTTCCAGCTGTGCATCCATAGAGCCTTATATTTTCCCAGACGGTCTGTCTCATTTGGCACCACCAGCCAACTCACTACCAGCTGCATAATTATTGGGGTGTTGAGTGTTTCTATGTGGAAGCAGGAAGGAAGAATGTAAGTTTCCATTAGTTCACATTCTCCTTTTCTTGACCCCTCTACAAAATGTCTCTCCCATTGTCTGTCCAACCACCCAACTACCCACCCATCCACCCAACCACCCAATCAATCCACAAGCGTTTACTAAGTGCCTCCTATCTGCCAGGCTCTGTTCAGTTGTCAGGGAAGGTTCTGGGATGTGATTTGCAGGAACCATTTGAAACTCACTTGGTTTCTCATTGTACCTAATATTTATCATTGGTAATAACTGCTTTTAGCTGCAAAATAACACATCTCTTTTCATCTTCCTTGGTTCCCAAGGTAACTTAAAATTAATCATTTCAACTTTTTCAAACCTGCTGATTTTTTAAAACATGTTTTTAATTAGAGAAGCAGTGAATGTGTGGTTTTAGGGGTGAAAAGTGCTGCTTCCCAATACCCACATACATTTGTGAGGCTAAATCTAAACCCAGTGCGCTGTGTCAGGTTTTTGCAGGTTGCTTTGCTGGAATGCTCATTTAAATGATCAGCTAATTACGAATTACAGCACTGCTCTCTAACGGCTCATTTCCCATGTTCCTGTGGTCTCTGGAAGGGCAAGGGCTAGGGAGGAAAGAGCCTTTGGCTGGAAGTCAAAGCCCTTGGGTTTCAAACCTTGCTGGGTCTTTGGGCAAAACCCTTGACCTCTCTGGGCCTTGGTGCATGGAAGCCTAGCCCTCAAGGTGGAAGGGACCTTAGGGAGAATAGGAACTGCCTTCACTGCTGCTAGTCAGCAACTCACCTGCAGCATAGAGGGAACCAGAGTTGCCTAGGCAGGCATGGAAAAATATAAGTGATTTGCTCAGGGTGTCGAAACCAGTCTGGATCCAAGGCAGGTCTTCTTTACTCTAAGAGCCCTCTATCCATCGGGCCATGCTGCCTCTCAGTGGGGACCTTAGGACAGAGAATGTGAGACTACAGAACTTGGAACATTCTAAGTGGCATGTTTATTTGTTTACTTTTTAGGAATGAAGCCTATCAGAGATAGGCAGGATCTTAGAACATAGAATAGGAGAGAACAGACCATGGAATGTTGGAGTTGGGGGGGACCTTGGCGATCATTTACTCCAATCCTCTCATTTTGTAGATGGGGAAAGAGGCCTGAAAAGCGGGCAGGGAACAGAAACATTTGCCATAGGTAGCTCTAGGGAGAGAAGAGCTGACCAAAGCAGTGATCTCTGCAGACCTCTGTGTAGGATTTATTGAATGTTCTAAGTAATGTCTGATTAGAACGCTATTATTTTTGTATTAAATTTGTAATGGCAGAAGGCCTACTGCTTTCTCAAGAGATACTTGATGGTGTCTTTGGGCATTCGGGGGACAGCACAAATGCCCATGTTGGAGACGGGCCGTGGTGCCTCAGCCTTTCCCTGTGTGTCTGGGCAGGCATGCACTTTGACAAACACAGCAGAAGGGAACCTTGACCAGGCAGGTTTGTTGAAAAAGATCCACTTCAGGCTCAGTGTGGGTCACCATGACAATCCAAAGGGCTATGCAATCTTAGGTCACATTACAGAGCTATAATGTCCAGGGCTGAGGAGAATTGAGCCCACTGGATTCATGCCCAGCTGGAGGCTTATAATCTTTTAGGAGGGATATTGAGAAAGTAGAGAGCATCCAGGGGAGGTGGACCCGGATGGGTAAGGGCCCTGAGTCCATTGCATGTGAGGATTGGATAAAAGGGGGAGACATGATTAATGTGGAGAAGAGAAGATTCAGGGGCCACACAGAAGCTACCTTGAAGAATTTGAAAGATGCCTCATGGAAGGGGGATTAGCCTTGTTCTGTTCAGAAGGCAAAATCAGGAGCTGTGAGGTAGGGGCAAGGGGAAAAGGCAAAGAGGCAGCTGGTTTTAAAGAAAAACTCCCTGATGATGAGAGCTGTCCCAGCATGGAATGGACTTCCCCTCCCTGGAGGTTTCCAAGCAAATCCTTGCTTCTCAGGGAGGTTGTCATGTGGACTCTTACTCAGGTCCAGATGGTCACTGAAGCCCCTTCCCATTCAGAGGGTGGTGGGTTCATGTGTAGGTTTTCAGACACAAGGGTTTTCTTCATTGGTATTCTTTTTCATTTGTTCCAATTACTCCATTTGTTCATTTATTCCAACAGGTCTATGGTCTGACTGTCACCATTCAAAAACATTTGGCCTGACTACCCACACAGAAAAAAACAAGTGGATAAGCTGTCTTTCCCAGAAAAGGCTGCACATTTTCATAGATTCCCAATAGAACTGAACAGTCTGTCTCTCTTGGATGGATAGTGTCCATCTATACAGTGTATAGTCAGGACCCTAACTGAAGAAGATGAGAGGGCCTAGATTTTACTTTGGGCTATGCTTCTGGATCCAAGAACTTCGTTGCCCTTTCATCCCGGACCTTCTCCTCAGCTTCTGAGGACTTCTCACCATGCAATACCCCTTTGTCATGTCAACCCCCTTCTCCCATTGGCAGCCTTTGGGGCCCTCCATTTTGGGGACGGTCCCAGGTAGCCATGCTTTATTCTCTTCCTTGTTGTGCTCTGACTCTAAGGACTTTGCTACCATCCCTCTACTGTCCAACTCCATTTTAAGTGTTATTATCACTAGTTAGAATGTAAGCTCCTTGAGG